GAGAAGATGTCATTAATTCATTTCATTCATCCAGATATTGACATTTTAAAGGTAAAAATGGAATCATCCAGAGGAACAAAAAGTAGAACATTACCTGTAGAGAGTAGAAATCACAAAAATATTGGTTGGTTAGGGAAATTTTAAAGTAATACAAAATATGATGTTCTTCCTGTCACTTTTACTATTTCTATATTTAAAAAAGGGCACTGGGAACTTTTGTTGAGTCTCCTTCTAGATCTCTTTTTGTCATCTATGAATAATCCCAATCAAATAAACACAGAAAACGGCAACAAAAAAAATTGTTAAAGTTGAACAACAAAATGATTTTAGGAGTCATCCCTGCAGAGCACCAACCAATATGTTTGAACAATACAATGTTAAAATCCATTCATTATTGCCTTGTTAATGTTTTATTCTTTACATAGTTGCGTTGAGGGAACAAATTTGACATGAAGGTCACTGTGCGCAGATCCAGTCTCACTTCAAATAACACACAAAGAAGGACCCTCGCAGTGAGAGGCGTCAGAACAAGAGACAGTTAGAGAAGCCTCCTACAGAGGTCTGTTGCCATCGATGGCACTAAAAGTGTGTTTTCAGACACATAAACACACATCACACAAGAACACATTTGCACACTTGAAAAGGCATTGACCGTATTAGTCAGGGGGTGTTGAAGAGCATGTCTCAGACACAAGGTTATATTATACACTGCCGATCAATACACTGCCGACCAAGTCGGAACACTCCTATGTGCACGCAGACCCGCGCATACACTCTGTGCTGTAATGGCATTGATCGTAAGTGGTCAGGGGGTTTGCAGACTGCGTCAAAGAGCCATTTTTATCCTCTGAGCCTCTCTGAAAGTCTGGACTAGTGGTGGTATTTTTTTAAACAAAAATGCTAATTATACTGCCTTCGTGGAAGGAAAATGTTTCTTATTGGCCAACATATACTCATGTTGGGATACATCTATATAAATATATCCCTGTACATGAGTTACTCTTCTACAGAGAGAAGGGAGACAGGTTGCCCATAGACAGATACTGTGCCAACTAGGCAAGGTTGCAAAGATATAGAGACAGGAGAGTCATCGCGACACTGGGGATGGCAAAAGCTTTAAGACGAGATAGTGTAGAGACACTAGCTGTGGGACAACGGTCTTGTGTGTGTGTATGAACAGGAGGGTCAGCCGACCAGACTGAGCCATCACCACACCCGATAGAAGGGGGCAGGTGAAGGACAAGGAGAATAACAGGAGGCGAGTTACGCAGTTATGATTGAAGGGGAGGGCTTCACTGAAAGAAATGTATAAACTAATGCGTTGCATCATCACCTCGTGGGTGTCTTTCCGGAAAGAGCTCGGTTTATTTGAGTGTTGTTGCTTCAATAAATCTCCGGATCCAGATCTCCAGTGTGTTCTATGGGTGTGTGTTACTGAGTCCCTGGTCTGTGAGGATGTGTGGGTCCTCATCTCGAGGCAGATAAAGATAGATAGATAGATACTTTATTGATCCCTCAAGAAGGAAATTTTGGAAAGTCAGTGGGTTAGAGAATTATTAGAAAAAAGTTAAAATACACTGATCCACAACACCTTGGATAGTTGGAAAGTTAAATAGAGAAGATACTGAAGGAAATGTATAGAGAACGAGATGTAGAATTTTTTATGCAATGTGTCTAAAAACTGGATAATTACTAAAAATCTATTCTGATTTCATCGAGATACTATGTTACAAAGACAGATGATGTTAAAAAAGAACAATATTATGTAACACGCTGGAGGTCATAGTCTCTTGTGGCACAAAACAGTCTTATTATAAGGAAAAAACACACTTAGATGTTTCCATCCATTTGAATAGGCAACATTGGTGAAACATCAGAACGTGCAACACTAAAGATGCTGTTTTTATATAACGGAGAAAAGCTCAATACATTAGTGAAGCGCCGATATATTGTTTTCCTGCTCCCTCCGCCACACCAGCCTCTTTTCTCTCCATGTCTCTGCGGCTGACCCCTCTTAATGGACATTGAACAAAGAAAAGACAGAAGAGAGAGACTCTAAACACCCACGGACACACTCAGGGCTGTTTTTTTTTTTTACTCTAAGCCGGCCCGGTGCAATGATCATACATGACGGTATCACACTCATGATTCATTGATGTTCTTATGCGTGGTTTGGTTAATATGGCTCCGACACTGATGTTGATAGATGTTTAAGAATAAACTACAGCGTAGCTTAAGCCTGTGTTATCTGTACCTTATTGTATATTTATCTGTTAAGAGATCTCATTTTTCATTTAACAGTGGCTGGGTTACCCTGCACTGAATTTGTAGAATTTCTGATAAGATCTCGTCAAAGCTGTAATTCTTAGAATTTGAGTCCTGATTGATTTGGCGGTACTTTTGGTCACCATGTCAGCAGCGCGTGCGGTTTGATACCGCAGGCCGTGTTTGCACTACCACGACCGCATGTTGTAGGGAGGGTGACTGTCTCCAGAAACAGGTTCTTTTAATAAACAAATGAAATATTCTCATGTTATTTATCTCACGCAACGGCATGTCATGTCTCTACGCACAATTCTCCACTGCTCTCTCTACCGCGCACGGTGAAGTTCCGCCCTGATGCAGACACGTGCACAGACACGTGTCTGCACGTCGGGAAAAAAACGTCGGTGTCCGTCCGGTCTTCCCCCCTTTTTGTCCATTACTCGACTAATCAGTTGTTTTGGTCAGCACCACCAAGAGTTAAGCAAACATGTTGTTTCTGTGTTGTTCTTACAGTTACAGATCCATCGATTCTTCTCAAAAGCGTTGTTTGGTAAATTATGTGGTTGACGAAACCCTTAAAAAATTGTAGATTTCCAGCGAAATCACATCTTGTTTTGGAAGGCAATGTGAATGGAGCGATCCTTTAACCCTGACACAGCACTCCGCCACCGCCAAGAAAAATCACAAAGAGAGCATTATTCTGTGTAAACGAATGGCCGCTGAACGGTTATTGCAGGAAGGATTTCTGTTGTCTAATTTTTTTATTTCAGCAAAGTTTTTCATATGAAATATATTAACATAATGATACGTGGCAATATGTGAAAGTTAAATAACGCTGTATATAAGGACACATAGAGACACATATATATTGTCTCATTGTATGTGTGTATGACTGTAAATGTAAAGAGTTATAATGTTATATACTGCATACCAATTAGAGTTGTGCTTTGTCTTGTTTTTTGATCCGTGGGCCTCAGATGCGGTTCCCTTTAAGGTCTGACTTATGCAGTTAAATAATTATTGTAAACATCCAGACAACGCAATAATGTGAGGCCGATGTGATTAACAGATACCACACAAAGACATATACCCGCCAACATTGACCTGTAATGAGGGTTATTCGTACCCACGGGGCTGCAGTGCCGACTAACTGCATCCATCCTTTAACGTGGAGGCGCAGATGGGAGTTTGCTATGCAGGGAGTGCGTAGACATGCTAAGAATTGTAAGAGGCGGCTTGTCTCCCACAGTTAACTTAGCTGTCGGAATATATATACAAGTGTCCTCCAGCTTGGAAATAATATGATGATCACTTCTCAAAAGTCCCCTCGAGAGACATTCTTGCTGTTGATAAAGAGTAAAAAGGCCAAGCAGAGCTAAATTGGTTGTCAGATAATCCTGCGGGGCAGTGAAGACGTTTTTTTGTTTACTTCTGTAGTCACAGAAGACGGAGTGATGGTTCTTCATTTGACAATATTATTTGCACCTTTTGAAACAATGACTGCTCCATGATAGTATTAACCTGTTAAACACCAGCCTTGTGGAGGAGGCTGGGAGAAGACTCGTCAAATAACTGCCTTAAGGAATTCACTAATCACAAAGTTATCTTTGATGTCACGTGTCATATTAAACAGCAGGACCTGGGCTACCAGTTGATGTAAGACATTTTTACATGCTCCAAACACAACTCAATCAATTACCACTAGATGTCAACTTTTCTATAGCGCTCCCTAGTCATCCCACTCTGGCTGTAACTTTACGACACATCATGCTGTAAAGACTCAACATCAACAAGTATGTATTGTATGTATGTATATGTAAATACGTAAGTATTTGTAATTCAAATAGACCTTGTGGTTGCATAGTTATACTCTTTTAAATATACTTTTTTCTGCAAATTTGGAGCAGAGGCCTAAAAAATGGGCGGGTTAGCAACCTGTCACTCATAACCAGATGCTATGACAACTCCAAAACATATGAAAACTCCTGAGAACCCAAAATAAAGATTTGTCTGCTTTAGCATTAAGTGAGGTCTAATTTTAAAGATAACATATTGTGTGTCTTCTATCACACCACTATCGAGAAGCGTTTAAATACTTTTTTGATCCATTGAAATTGGATGTGTGTTCCTTCTAATCCTTTTTGGACAAGGTAAACCTTCCCTGACAATAGGATCAGCTCAAATTCCCCTTCCTTCCTAATTGAAACTTTTACATATTACCAAATACTGTAGCCTTTTGGTAGTCACCAGTTTGAGGGGTACCAGTCAGCATCTGACCAAAGTAAGGAATGTAACAACATATGTAGAAAATATCATATTACTTGAGCGATAATATGTATTGGAGAAATTAATCTTGAAGCAAGAAGATCAGCACATCAACACGGCACTGAAGCAAGTCGATGGACGAGCCACAATCACATTTGGCCTTGGCCCAGCAGACCCAGTGGTGGCTCTGTTCCTCTACAGATGTCTTTTCAGATGTCTTATCATTTCAGCTCATTAAACGCATATGACTGGATGACTGGCTAAGCTCCACTTGTATCATCTATCATCCGCTCTCGTCCTCATAGCAGCGGCTGATGCCTCCTTATTAAAGCACACGCAGCTGCGACTAATACAAACAGGCACAGAAATGCTTTTTACTATTACTCCTCAGAGTCCATAGCAGTCATGAGGACAGCAGATGGAAACTCATTGACAGACGGGTCATAAAGTGAAAGTGTGGAGAAACAGACCTGTACACCAGTGTGTCATCCCCTGAGCTGTTGTACTGGACCTGGAACATCCTGACTCCAGTCGAAGAAGTCTGACTGCTCCATCTAATGAGGGCAGAGTTCCCTGTCAATTCCACCAACGAGACCCTCCGGTCGGCCGCTCTGGACTCGTTGTTAGGCAGCGACACCTTGGAAGAGGTCAGGATGTCGGAAGGGGCGGGTTCAGAGGCTGGGTCTCGGCTGCGGCTTGTGCTGTTCGCCAAATGGGGCATCGCCGTGACAACTAGCTCCACCCTCCCGGTTGATTCACCTGCTGCGTTGGAGGCAATGCAGGTGAAGTTACCTGAATCCTTCAGGGATGTTACATTGATCTCCAGGCTTCCATTAGGGAAAACCAAAGTTCTGAAACAGATTAAGAGTTTTTATGAAGTGACATATAGTGCGTACATTTAAAAAACAGAGAAGTTTAAGTTTACTTTTACGGAACAAGACATCTAAAGAAGCAAAAACTAATATCAATTTGAAAAAGTGCCTACAAAGGATATAACGTTCAAACGTTTATTGCTAATGTTTTATAGGCATAGCTATGAGAAGAAAGCCAAGGTGTGACAGCTACCTCCTAATCCTCATTCATAGTATAACTAACGCCAAGGGTAACATCATGTGAGACAACACTGTCTGACTTTTTAACTTGAATACACACCGTGCTGAAGTTTACCAGTAAAAGGGGGATTATTCAAATCACTGCTTTTCTTGCACCTGTCAATCGGGTTGTCTGGTTTTAGAGGTTTTGAGTCACATGACCTAAATTAACACCAGTTTTTTCCTTTAAATTAGAAAATGTACAATCAAAAATGGGGAAAAGACATTCATTGTAAATGATACAAGAATATAACATAATCTTAATACCTTGAGCCATTAGATATAAGTCGCCCCTCAGGGCTGATCCAGTGGACTTCGGGCTCGGGGTCTCCGTTGGCCTTGCACTTCAGGCTCGCAGGCTGGCCTTCCATGGCCACCGTATGAGGTGACTTACGGGTCAGAACTGGTGGATCACAAATAAACTCCTAACGGGCAAAAAGGGATAAGGAATAAAGATGTCATTATTTAAATGTTACGGTTTCAAGGTTATGCAATATTTACGTAAAGAGCTTAAAATTACCTCCTCAGGGATTGTCCAGAAGTACTTGGCACTGAGCTCGGAGGGAGAGGCACATGTCTCGAGGTCGTCCTCTCTGGTCAGTCTTCTCAACCACAGAAGCTCACAGTTACAGTGAAGTGGGTTCCCACCAAAGCTCAACACCAGGGAGGTGAGGGGCGAGCCTTTGGACTTGGCGTACACTGGGATTCTGAGGAACAACGGGTCTGGCGGGATTTTCTTCAGCTTGTTGGACGTCATGTCGAGCCTGTTAATGGATGGGGCGAGGAGAAAGATGAGGGATGGATTAAGGGAGAATGGAACAGTATATCATCTGTTCATCAAGTTGATCATTAAACCGGCTTTACATTTTCTTTTCTGACAAAATGTCATCATCTCTCAATATACCTGGCCAACTTGTGCAGGTTGGTGAATACGCCTTGGGGAACATTTTCTATCAGATTATGATCCATATTTAAGGTATTGACGTTGGTCAGGCGTCCGATCGTGTCCCAAGGCGCCTGGGCAAGGTTGTTGTAGCTGAGGTCCAGATCCTCCAGTGTGGTTAGGAAGTCATCAAAGGCATGTGGAGATATGGAGTGGAGCTGGTTGTTGGCAAGGATCAAGTGACGGAGGTTGGTCAGGCCATTAAAATGGTCATCCTGGTGAAAGTGTTGAGAGAATAACAATAATATAATGATACCGTTGTTTTATTTTCATTTCTGTCGTTGCAGCTCGATGGTTCAATGTATGTATTACCCACCAACCTATAATTGTCTGTTGATCACTCAATAATATATGTGAATATACAATCACATTTGCCATCATTAAACTAATCTACGAGCCTCACCTTTATCACAGTTAATCTATTAGAATCTAGATGGAGTGATCTCAGCCGCCGCAGGTCACAGAAGGCTGAAGGGAGAATCTGACTGATGGTGTTTCTGGAAAGGGTCAGATGCAGCAGGCTGGTCATGTTGGCAAAGTCCTTTCTTCGGACAGCTGCAATTGAGCAGAAGGAACAAAAAGAGGTGCTCCATCAACCTCCTAAGTGGCAGATATATGCATCAAATGGGCTGTAACGTAATTAATAACGTGTGATTGATGCAGAAAGATAACTAAATAGATTCTAAATAATCTTCAGATGTTTATAAAATATGTCTCTGAGATGGATAGGAAAAAAAAGTATAAATCAAAGCATTGAAATTGAAAGAGGCTGTTACTTTACATACTTTTCTGGTGAACTTGCTACCATAATCCTTTTTGGCCACGTGCAAACCATGTTGTTTTATATTTAGAAAAGCCGATCCATGGCTAATAAGTCTCTCGGAGTCTAGACCCCGAGGATGTTCAAACCCTTTAAAATGTACTTTTTGCCAATGTACCCTAAGAAGCTCATTTCCCAAAATGGAATATTAAATATTAAATTTAGCACAGAATAGTGCTTCATGAAGAATGTAACATGAATCAATATATTTGTGTATTATTGTTAGTGGTGCATCAAATTATCTTACTGGAACGTGTGCATTTTGTTTTAGTGATGGGAAATAGTTTATTTTAAATTGGGTCTGGGTAGATTAGCTAGCTGCTTTGGGATGGAGCAAAAGGGAGACCAGACTAGAATAAAAAGATAAAGCAACCCTTTGGTTCTTAAAAATAAATATATTTCAAACTATCAGCGATAGCCCTTTGATCATGAATAAGTATTGCTTGACTGAACAACAGCAAAAAAAAGTTTCAAAGTATCAGTAGTCGTTTCCCAACTCGGAGAAGCTTCGACTGCTCAATATTCCAGCATGTCCCCTCTTCAGGAAATCATTGTAGATGATTGTTGATGAGGAAGAACTGTCTGGACCGTACAAAATGCCTCAATTCACGGCCTTGATTCAAGTTTAAGAAGTGTAAGACAAGACAGGCTGGCAGGCATCTTACCTGTAATGAAGTTTTCTTGGAGCCGAAGCTCCACGGTGCGCCGCTCAATGGTCCCGGGGACAAACAGCAAGCCCGTCTTGGAGCAGAGAATGGCGAGCGATGGAGAAAGGCTCTGGCACATGCAGCGTTTCGGACACGGCTGTCCTCTGCATGCCGCTGCCAGCAACAGCAAAGAGAACCACAACTGTTCCATTATCCTGCACAGGGAACCGGGCAACTGGAAGACAGGAGGAAAAAGAGCAATGACTTTGAGTGGGTCCAAATGGACCATTAAAAACCTAGTTAAAGATACATTGTTAAAGATAGTAGATTCAAGAATATACATGCAAATGGACAAAATGTTGCCATTGGAATTGCTATTATGGATCAAATTCTAGCTGTCAGTTCAACACAAGGCAGGAAAAATGTGAAACCACTTTCACTTTTAACACAGCAGACGGGACTCAAAACCCATGCTGGGATATGTGTGTGTACCAGTAGACAGAAGCATATTAGCAAGCTCAGTTTGACTCCCAGGCTAATCAATAGCATTGGACTTGTACTTAGCTGGTGTAAAAAACGACACCTTCATTCTGATTCTCCCATGGTATTAGCATCACAATATAAAGCAAATAACCAGAGTTGCGATGGTTGATGTTTGTCACCAATAAAGCAAATCTGTCAAATATAAACAAACAATAAGCTAAAAATGAATCCGCTATCAATTCATACCAGATGTTCTCCATCCTTTCACAGTGTGAAACATAAAGCAGTTTCCTTCGTGCACCACATGAATCACCTGTTGTTTCCTCAATCCATTCCCCCTCTTTTTACTTGTATCACTCCATCATCCTTATTGTCTCCTTCTCTAAATACATCACGTTATGAAAAACGTATTAAATCATTTGCTTGCAATTCCCCCTTATATGACATTTATGTCCCTTGACCCTCCTTCACGCTGTGTGATAATCCCGAGCAGTCCCTCATTCTCTGTAATTGATGCATTTTCTTTCTTTCATATCAGACATGCGTCTTTCTGCCATCATCCTCCTAGCTGCCTCTTTTCCCTCCTTCTCTTAAGAAGGTTCCCTCTTCTCTTGTGATCATCTTTCCTGCAGGCTTCCTCTTCAATCTTTGTCGGGATCCCTCTACTGCCCCCCCCCAGCCACCATCATCCTTTTATTGCAGTCTCACTACATTTTGTGATAGCTTTATTGTAATGTATCTGTGTTTATGCACACATTCCTTAGTTTGTTCACCCACTCATCTCATGGCGTGCATGTGCACAGCTTAACTCAACAGCATTTGATGATTGTCAGTGAATAGATATGTGCCTTGAATAAGCTCTCACTCACTTGTTACCCAGAAAAAAAAATCCTACCAATTCTAAAATGTTGCCCTCCAAATTTCTAAGATTTTACAATTGTTTCTGCATTATTTCTGTTTGTAGTTGGAGGTAAACGACAAACAGCATACAGCGGAATTTTGCAATAATTACACAGAGGAGCTCTCCCTTGATAGTCATTTTCAACCAATGGCTCTGTAAGCTATCAAAACATCGGGGATGTCTCCAGCAGTAACACATGTTTTTTCATTGTAGTTTTTACAAAGTGAGGCACAAACACACTGGCGGCCTCTTTGTTTTGTTTGACACTATGATCTGCGCTTTGCACTTCGCCAATCAGCTCTTCCCAGGCAGAGGATTTTTCAACGTGTTTACGGCTGATATTTTACCAGACTGGGATGCTGTTTGTGTTGAAAATGCTGGGATTTTAATGTATTGGTCATTGATGACGGTCGCTTTTGGTTGTGCAAATGTTGTAAGAGATACACAAAGCACTTCATGCACAGCTATAGGTTAGTTAAGTTGAGGGCCAGACTAAAACTCAAAGAAAAAAAGGAGTTACCCAGCGCTGAAGAAGCCTGGGGCCCCCACATGCAGCCTGGCCCCGGTGGGGGGGGCTCATGGACGGGATATCGAAGCGTAGTCGGGCGGAGGATGGTTTATAGTTCAGGGAGCTGCTGGGTCTAGTTGGTTGGTGACATTTTCTTGGGATAAGGTGTCTGCTTTACCCTTTTGTACTTTTTCCCTCCACCATTTTTGTTGAACCTTGCCAGTCTTTGCTTTGCAATATTCAAACTGTGACTTCTACATCCGTCTCCCGAGTCATGCACTTGAGCTCTCCAGTTGCTATACTTCTCATTACTCTACTACACTATACTGTCAATCTTTTTTGGGGACTTACATTTGATGGTGGGATCTGTCACCACCAACATGTGGCTTTATTGGTATTTTTAGCACCGTCACATTACGAAAAATAATTACTTTTGCACAAGTAGGATTTTCAGACCGAACGGTGGCAAGCCCATAGGGCTGTTATTGCTTTTTTAACCAGCAGCATAAATCAAATGTGGTGGCCACAAACAAAGATGTAGTGCAGTGATTGGTCATCTATTACCTGTACTATTACCTGCTGTATCACCATCATCATCACCATCATCATCCATGATTCTGTGCCCCATCATTCATTAAAGTATAATTGGTAATAACCTACTGATGTGGTCTTTGCACTCACTACCCATAAATAATCCACATCTGAGTGCGTGTGCTTTAGTGTGTTATATATTTGTGCAGACTATGTGTGCCCATTTTCGTTTGTATGTGTGTGTGTGTGTGTGTGTACGTGTGTGTATCTGGCCCCTCGCTCATTCTGTGTCCAGAGTATAATACAGCTCACAAAGCAGATGGATCACCCTGTCAGCTTTCTCGCAAAACCGCCGCAGAGTGACTTCTGTGTGTAATGCACTGTGTCTGTAAAAGAGCATTAAAGCTGTTCATGTGCGCTTTTCCATACAGTTTTTTCCTGTCTTTTCTTTAACTATGCTCATGCAGCTGAGTTCATGTCTGCATGTGTGTGTACGTTGCATACATGTCTGTGCGGTATGCGTGGCTGGACGTGTGAGTGTGCTTTTAAGGGCCCGCTTTCTTTTGCACATTAGTACTTGCTCATGTGTCCATGTTTGTGTGCACATGAGAATAGACGTGTGTGCTCCATCCATCAAACGTTTTGAGTCAGTGAGTGGATCCTTGTGCGTGCTCATCTGTACTCATGAGTAGAAAGCTGTGCATTGTGCTGCTGCGGTAATTAATGGTGAAACAAACACATCAACATTTTGTCAACTGTTACTGAAGCAAAACTACCCAATTGACTGTCTGTGTTGTTCACTTCCTCAATAATTATACCTCGTTATGTTGTTTTGCTCAAATGGGGGGAGGGGAAGAACGGGTAGGATGAGGTATCTGTACACACCCGTGGTGAAGGCGAGAATCCTATTGGCCACGACAAAACTTGGTGGGGGCTTGTAACTTAGCAACAGCCAATGACACATGGATGTTAACAGAGAGAGAGAGAGATAGAGAGAGAGAGAACTTTTGTTGCAGTAACAGCGTATCAAGGAGAAACATTTCTTATCGGATCATTATACATACTTCTAATTTAACAAAAACAAACTTTAATTATAACTTTTGTCGTAAGATGGGGAACCCCGAAAGAGCATCCCAGCCGGAGTCCATCAGCTGATGGGTGGATTCAGCTTCTGCTGTCTTATCCCGCCCAAACTCTGAATGTGATTAAAGTAAAATTAATCACGCGCCTTGATGAAGGTATGTGGCAGCAGCCAAGCCTCAATCTCCTAATGGTGTATTTTCCGCTTAACAGAATAGAAAGTAAAGAGAAATTACTTTTTCAGCATAACATAATTACTAATCATGAAGTGATTACTTAATGTGTCTTCAATCTAACGACGATATCTCCATCTTGCCATCTCCAAGATGAATGTTGCATGCACAACGCTAGTTGTATCTCACAATATGAAAAATATTTCGGATGAGTCCAATTTCTTGTCGCTCCTTGCGTAACCCACAATAAATCTTTGACTTGACTCTTTTAACGTTGGCATTGGACATTCTCTTCTAAGCACAGGCACACCACAGAGCGAGGCCAGTTTTCAGCTATAGGCGGACAAGGGTACAAACCACCGTGCCAAGTGGTGTCCTCAAACAAGAAACTAAATCCCTCTTGGCTCCAGTGGTGCTGTTCCGCTGCTGACCCTGACCTTCCCGTGGAGGGGATGAGAGAGCAGACACCTCCCTCTGCAGGGATCAGTTTTGTTAAAGCCGTAAGATGTGCTGTTCACCTTTTTGAAGTCATTGGGAAAAGTATGTACTAGATATTTTTCAGGGCAGCAGCTGCCTCGGTTGTAACTTGCAAAAGAGTGTCGTTCTGTTCTGCTCTGTCGTAACCAGGATTCGGGAGGACGCATTCTACCAACGCCGAATTTTGTTACAAATACAAAATAAAAAGCCAAACACTCAGCCAAACCAGTGTTCAGCCTTATGAAAGCATAATGTTTACTGGGGTCAAAAAAACAAAGAGGCAAACAACCACTTGTATTAACAGGATAATCTGGCAGCATTTTAACACCACCATGAAAGTACTTTATTTAAGCACAATAATCACATATGGCAAGAACAACGTGCACTTTACTACGCGGGTGATAGCACTTTCTGTTTTCTATACCAAATAATTAACAAATATAAGCTTAAAACTGTTGTTTGTATATTAAATACAAAGGTCATCTAAAAGTAATGGCAAGTAACATGTTTATGTTCATTTTATATTAAGATACTGAGGTTGTGTCACTTATTCTATTTTTAAAGTGGCTGATTACATTTTTATCTCTTCAACTCTCTGATTTACATTCATTACGAGTACATACAAGGCTTTATATACTATTAAAAATGTATTGAACCTAACTTGACCTGATTAAACCATCTCTATCACTTGTAATTAGCTTTTGTGTTGTAAAAAGATAAATAATAATTATTGCCCAGAAAGTAAAAATGCAAAGAAATCATTTTCACTACTTTTTTTCTCCTCCTTCAATATTTTCTTCTTCTTTCTTTGATCTTTAAAAAGCTACTTTCAATGTATTGTACAACTTCAGTAACTTTGGGGCAATTAAACTTCAAGTAACCCTAACTATCAAGACTACGCAAATGTCACGTTTTCTCTTAAAAGTGAGGACAGAAGAGTTAGTGCTGCTTTTAAACTCTTGACGTATCAAACTGACACAAGCACAACGACTTACGAGCCTTGCGACGTTTCAGATGGCTTTTAATTGGTCAGCAGGCATTACGCAATCTTAGTTTTAGTATGGGTTGAATAAAGTTGACTC